AATAACGCTGGAGCAAATAACACTATAGTTTTTTTTTTTTTTTTTGCAATGGCTGAGTGGGGTCATTTTCTCTTTTGAAAATAATAGGGAGCAATTACACTGTTCTTTTTTTAAGGGTACAGTATGACGCACACAACATACGCACTTCACGTGCACACGTACGCGTGCACGCCCGAACACACGCAAAAAAAGATATTGAAAGGCTCTAGCCTCCGGTGGGCGCTCATATCCTACCACCAGATTGTAACCTAAGTACCTAACTAAGGTAGATCGACAGGAATTGGGTAGAGGAACTCTCGATTCGAGACTCCGGCAACCGCCGAGCTCGCCGCCGACGCCTCTCGGGCTAGGTTCATGTGTTCTGTTCCAGGTTCAACGTTCTCCTTCGTTGCCTGAGCAATACATAGGAGTCATCTGGGCCTCCTAACCCGTTACATGGGTACTAGCTAATGGCTACTGCGTCGTGGGCTTCACAGCCATTCAGGCCCATGTAATCCCGTGTTGGCCCTCCTGAATCTTTCTCCTCTTCGCTGCTCCTTTGGCGCCTTTTCTTCAGAAACTTCAGCATCATCAGACTCCTTAGTTGCTTCATGTTCTTCAGACAGTGCTCCAGTGTTGGTGACACAGACCAGAGCCCCTTTCGCCAAATCACACTATTAGTAAAATTGAAAGCATGAAATGTACATGTTTGGGCCTCAACAGCGACCAACCTGATTTTAACAAACATACACCTAAATAAGTCTATAACTAAGTCATACATGATCCAATTAGTATGAAATTTTTACTACAGTTCAAACATATAATAATTAGTCTACCATAAAAATTTCACCACAATTGGACCATGGAAACTGCAGTTATTAATTAATTATCCAAAAGCATAGATCTAAAGCTACAGCAAAGCATTTGTAATAAAGCATACCATATTATATGTTCACTGTGTAGATCTACTTATATAGAGTCAAAAAAAATTGGATTTTTTATTTTATAATTTTTCTATGATTTACTATGATTTTTCAAAAATTCAGCCGAAATAAATAAAAAAAAAGACAAAACCTCCTTTGAAAACCGCTTATAACCGATCAGGGAGGTAAAACGAATAGTTTTAAAAGTTCAGGGAAGTGGTTTATTCGGTTCTAGAGTTCAGAAAGAAAAAGCATATTTTCGCAAAAGTTGAGGAAGATAATGTGGACTTTCACATGTAAAATACAGATCATACTGGTTTGGCTAAAAGTGCTACTTAGATGACCGGTGAGCCCACTAAGCTCCTGCTTGCTTGGAGGAATTTGAAGAAATCTGAATGAATCTGGATGAATTTGTGAGAGTATAAACAGTAAATTTCAGCCATCAATAGTGAGTTCCGGCTGAAATTTCTGCCAGCCGAACGGATCGTAAAATTCCATCCGTTTTGGACCCTTGCAACTGGAAAAAGAAAAACATCTAGAGGCCACACTTATATTTTCTGACGTTTATCTCTCTACCTACACTCCTTCGGTCTCAGTGGAAGGACGACGACGCAACTGACAGTTACCGACGGCCGTCGTCTCCTCCGCCCTCCAGTTCAGCCTCCTCGTCCGCGATGGCTTCGAGCGCCGACTCCGCCGCCGCAGGGCAGTCGGCGCTGGAGATCTGCGGCGGCGTGCCTGCCTCGCGCTCGTCAGTCTATTAGGGCTTTTTGGAAGCAAGCGGAGCAAAACCAGTGATGAAAACCCCCTACTGAGAATTAGAACGACAATTAGAATTGGATTATCCATCCAGGAAAAGTCTGGGATGCCGGAGGGATCGGAGTTACGGAGTTTGAGTTCTGGCGTTCTGTTGCCTGTTGTTTGCCTGTGCTAATGCGGCGCTTGAGTCGCGCTTAGCTGATCTCGCCTCATTCAATCGATGCGGATTCCGAATTTTCTCCCTTGACCCGGATGTGGTGCTTCGCACCGCTGTAAGCGGAAGATGTGGCGTTTGATTTGACTCGTTAGTTTAGCATTAAGCATGCCGCGCGTAGGTGACCATTCTTTACCCAAACACTGTAAAAACCATTTGCACAAGCCAATTTAAAATTTCGGATATGATTTGTCAAAAGGATGTTTGTAAATAGGAAAGTTGCTTGTAGTATGTGCACCATGCAGCAAGGCGTTGAAGATTTGAAGCTACATATGTTAGGAAGGTACTCCTCTTTTTTTTTTCTTTTTTTGTGAGAAGGTACTCCATTGTGGATGGATAGTTTAATTTTCTCGGGCACATACATATTTGTAATTCACATTTTATATATTAAATTTACAGCTTGATAAGGATCAAGGCGTCCTGCTGTTAGCTAGACCTCAAATACTGTAAAATATAAGGCTGCACTTTATTATTTTGTTCATTTGACATATGACAAACATTCACAGCTAGTATGTGTATCTTGAGTAGCCAAAGATCAGCATCATGTGTCAAAACTCGAAAGTGATTACTGTGTTAGTTCCATAGCTTTCTCGAAAGTGATACTGTGATAGTTCCATAGCTTTCTTCTACTCAGAACATCCAGCTCATGTTTATTAAGGATACCCGTTGTCCAGTCAACGACATCAGAATTCTCAGTTTCAGTTTACACCTGCAGTCTGGCAAGATTGCACCACGGCAGGACACCGTTAAGCTAGATAATCTGCCCTGATATTCTCGTCTAGATCTAGTGTATCTGTTGAAAACAACCAACATTAGATCAACAGTTTCCTTTTGGTTCTCCACCTTTCTCACTGTTTTGAGCAGCAGCAGCCGCAGCATCTGCGGCGTCACTCAAACCCATCTTCTGCAGTGCATTTGCAAAGCCATCAACATCTGTGTGAGTTATCTTATACGGTGTGTGGCTTGGACCAGGGAAAGTCTGAGTTTCCACTTCTTGCTTATACTCTGATAACGCCTTGTTGATGACATCGCCCACATTACCAAATTGCTTACAGAATTTTGGTGTGACCTGTGGGAGAGCAGAAGTACACACTGGGATTAATAAAACTGTACGAGTAACAAACAAAAAAATGCTTAGGAACCCCACTTCAATCTTATTGTTTTTGCATAGGAGTAAATAAACACTTGCCTTGGCATGATGTGGGTGTCGCAGCATCCCTAACAAGTCATGGTATACCAAGACCTGCATTATAATAAGTGCATGTCAGGCTTCATGAGCAAACATGTTATGCATCATCAGATGTCGTAAACGACTGTCAAAGTGGTCAAGTGACTTTGCTTGACGAGTTCACTTGTAGCATAATATATTCAGATAACATGCTTATCTTATCTTATCTTATACTCTTATAAAGCAAAACGCCACTACCTATTTCCTTCCACGTGCAAGCTGTCCAACTAGGCAATCCACTATCACACACAATTAAAATCCACTAGCCCATGCAATTATAATGTCCACGTCAGCAAGACACAAATATTTTGTTGTCCATGTCATCATACCACGCAATCCACTAATCCGCAATTTCCACAGCAACGCACGGAGTATTCTACTAGTTTTATGATACGAGAGGACCACAAAGGCATGCATATGTTTTTTGAGGGAATGCCATGTATGCACTTGATGAAAAGACTAAATAATCAGTGTGTATGCACTTGATGAAAAGACTAAATAATCAGTGTGTACTCCGTATGACTGATGGCATGCACACTATGAACAGAATCAACATCTTGTATCTGTGAGCAAAGCCAATGTTTTTAAGGCGTCGCCTACGCCTAGGCGACGACTAGGCGTCCAGGCGACGGAAATGTCTGGTCGTCGGGGGTCGCCTAGCCAGGTGCCGTATGGCGTCCGCCTCGGCGTCTAAGGCGTCCACCTTTTGCGTTAGGCGTCTAGGGCGACACCAACCAGCCTGAGGCGGTCGCCATAGGCGTGAGCAGCCGCACACGGGAAAGGGAAGGGACCCAGGGCGGGAAATCGCTCCCGCGCGGGACTTCTCCCGCCTTCCGTCGTTTCCAGCACGCGCGTATAAAGGAAATGACGCGGGAATAGAGAGGGATTGCGAGGGAGGGGATTGGGAAGAGAGAGGGAGAGGCAGACCCTGCTGGTGTTTCTTCCCCACTCGCGGCCAGGTCCCGCTCGTCCTCCCGCTCGCGTCCGCTCGGAGCCGCGCATCCTCCCGCACGCGTCCGCTTGCCTGTCTTCCGCTTCCTCTGTGCAGACCCGTGCGTCCGTCCGCACGGACAAGGAGGACCAGGACGACCTGCTTCTTCTATGGACCCAGGATGGCTTCACCGGTCCTCAACTTCGCCCATCGACAAGCCATGGCTTCCCCGGTGCCCAGCTCTGCTCAGCCTTCAGACCAGCCCTCCACTGGACCAAGTATCCCTCGCCTCCTCTCTCTGTTTCTCTCTTAAAAAGGCCAAAGCTTGCATGTGGCATGTGCGGCTGTCCCCTGCTTTGTTTGCTCTTACAAAGGCTGAAGCTTGCATGCGGCTGTCTTCTGCTTTGTTTGTTTGCATATAAAACAGAGCAGATAGCAATCACATGGGTACAGTTGTTGCTTTGTCTACTTGTGCTTTGATTTATAGATGCTAAATGGAGTAGTACATTAGCTGCTGTTGCTCTATTCTATATGCTAATTGCACTGCCTTTTATGCTAATTTGATTTGTTTATTAGGCTGGAGGGTGCTCTGTGTTCCGTGCTCTGTTTGTGCTCTGTGCTAGACTGCTAGTAGATAATTAAATTGGTTGTTTACTGATTCCTACACTTTGCCATTCTCTGAACTCATTAGTTTATAAAAATTATACAGCAGGAACCATGGCAAGTCCACCATCAATCATCAGCGGATATGATCCCAAGAACGATACAGCCTGAAAGCCGCAAAGGTCAAAAGATCAAGCTTGGAGGTTTGGCTATTGGCCAAACCTTCAAAACAGAGATGAGGTGGCATGCACCTTATGTGGCGGCTTAGTTCGTAGAGGGATTAAAAGGTTGAGGCAACATTTGGCAGGAGGTTATGGAGATGCAAAACTATGTCCAAGTGTGAGCACTGAAATTAGGAGGGAGATGGCAGCTTACTTGGATGCAAACAAGAGGAAAACACCATTGGTTATAGATGATGAGGTGGTGGAGGTGGCAGCAAATGGGGCTCCTGCAAATGAGGCTGCTGCTGCGGTACAGCCTAGTTCAGGGACAGCAGCAAAAAAGAGGCAAGCATCCTTACAATTCATGGCTGTTGGTAACAAGACTAAACCAGAGGGAAAGGCAAACAAATGTGTAGTTGAGATGCTTCGAAAAACACCAGAAGAGATAGTAGATGAGAGACTTTCAGGGTCTTATCAGCCCACAATTGTGTCCAGTACAAAAACCAAGGAAGAGAAGCATTATGTGGATACACAATGGTCCTTGTTCTTCTATGAATGTAGCAGCAGCAAGACAATTTCAGATTGCAGTTGAAGCCACAGCACAATATGGTTCAGGGTACAAGCCTCCAACACCATATCAACTTGGGGAGCCATTACTTCAAGAAGCTGTGAAGTTAACAAGTACCATGAGAGAGGAGCATGAGAGAGCATGGAAAAAATTATGGCTGCACACTCATGTCTGATGGATGGTCTGATAGGAGGGGCCGCCACTTGATTAACTTCCTTGTAAACAGCCCCGAGGGAACTTATTTCTTGGAGTCCATTGATGCATCAAGTGAAGTACATGATGCATACATGCTTGCTGGTTTGCTAGAGAAGAAGGTTGAGGAGATTGGAAAAGACAAGGTTGTTCAAGTTGTCACAGATAATGGTGCTAACTTCAAGGACGCAGGCAAGATTCTCATGGACAGGATTCCTACAATATTTTGGACCTCCATGTGCTGCGCACTGCTTGGATCTCATGTTAGAAGATATAGGGAATTTGTTGGAATTCAAGAAACCTATTACACGTGCAAGGCGTGTGACAACTTTCATCTATAGGCATGGGAGGATCCTTAGTGCCATGAGGGAGAAAACAGGTGGGGTTGACCTTGTGAGGCCAGCAGCCACACGTTTTGCAATGGCCTTTTTGACTTTGAAGAGCTTGTACAAGCACAAGGATGCTTTGAAGTCTTTAATGGTTAGCGAAGCATGGACTGGGAACAAATTAGCAAAAACTAAAGCTGGTCTAGATGTGCATGACATTGTGCTCTCTACACAGTTTGGAATTCAGTGGAAGATTGCCTTAGAGCTTCAGCCCCACTCCTTATTGTGCTTAGGGTGGTTGATGGAGATGAGAAGCCAGCAATGCCGGAGGTTCAAGCTCTAATGAACCATGCAAAGGAGAGGATCATAAAAGCTTTGCCATCCAATCCAAGAAATCTTTGCTCAAGAAGATCATGGGAATAATTGAGCGACGTTGGGAGAAACAAATGGATCATCCATTGTATGGGGCTGCAATGTATTTGAACCCAGGGAAGCTACATCCTCTCCTAAAAAAGGATGATGATTCAACTGTTGGACAACTAAGAGGTTGCTTTCTTGATGTGCTTGCAAGAATGGTGGAGGATGAGGAAACTAGAAGCAAGATCAATGCTCAAGCCATGGATTATGAATATCTTAGAGGAGAAGCTTTTTCAAATAAGATGGCCATACAAAAACTTGAGTCAATAAGTCCTCGTAAGTGTTTATTTCCATTTTAATTTCAGCAAGTGTACATCATATCAATTTAATTTCAGCTAGCATTTTTTTGGTCCTAGCTCCTAATATATTGTTTCATTTGTTTGCTCTAGTTGATTGGTGGTGTTCCTATGGTGGCCGTGCTATTGAACTACAAAGATTTGCAAGGCGTGTGGTTAGTCTTTGTGCTTCCTCATCTGGCTGTGAGCGAAATTGGAGCAAATTTGAATCTGTGAGTATTTCCTCATTTGCTTGCTGCCCTAACCAATATTTCAGCAAGCAGTTTATTCATTTTTGGTTGTAATTGTGTTTCTGGTTTTGTAGGTCCACACAAAGAAAAGGAACCGATTGTTGCATAAGAGGATGAATTCTATTGTCTTTGTTTCCTACAACCGGAAGATGAAATCTAGGTTCCAAAAGTTACGCCAAAAGAAGGGAAAAAACTTTGATCCTTTGGTTATTGAGGACTTTGATTGGAACAATGAGTGGGCTGACTCATTGCATGTACCCCCTCAAGGTGCTCGTGGGTGAGTGTGACCTTAATTGGAACCTTGTTGATGAAGCTGTTGGAGCATCTCAATCACTTCAAGGCCGAAACTTTCCAAGAGCAGCCCACAAGCGTGCAAGAAATTCTGCACCTACGGTGAATGAAGATGAGTTGGGTTCAGACAACGAAGAAAATCCAGATCCATTTGATGATGCAGATGTGACAGATTGTGAGGATGATCCAAATGATGCCAATGAAACTGGAGAAGACAATGAGGCAGCCAACATCCCTGGAGAGTTTGATGATGGCTATTGAGACTTGAGAGATTAGAGATTTCAGTCCCTCTTTTGTAAGCTAATATATGTGCTGCACTAGCAGCACTACTAATTAAGTTATATATGCCATTAGAGACTAGTTTATGGCTACTAAGAGATGGAACATTTCATATTTGCTACTTGCTACTTTACGTGGTGCCCTAGAACTCTAATAGCACTACATATTATGCTTATAATTTGCTATATTAAGGTTGGATTGGCATCTGATTTTTCATTGGCATTATATATTAAATTGTCTGTATGGAGTCGCCTAGGCGAGCGCCTTATTCGCCTAGGCGTCCGGAAGGGGGTCGCTCGCCTCACCTCACCTTACCACCTTTAAAACATTGAGCAAAGCAATATCTAGTTCTCTAGTACTCATTTTACAGAGTAATGAACAAACGAACCTGTCCACTACAGAATGGTCCAGCCCCAATGCCAATGGTTGGGATTTTCAATGCTGATGTTGCAGCGGCTGCCACTGGAGCAGGCACACACTCCAACACAACCGAGAAGCATCCAGCCTCCTGCAAGGCAAGTGCTGTCTCCACAACCTACGCAAGCACAATAGCATGGATTGTATTATTGAAACCTACCAATCAGTCAGCACACCAAAGGCGTACCAACAAATGTATAGCCAGACCACAAGCAACGAGGAGCAGCACACCTTTACAGCACTGTCAACCGTCTTCCCTTGAGGCCTAAATCCACCGAGCACACTAATAGCTTGCGGTGTGAGGCCAACATGCCCCATGACTGCAATACCAGCCTCCACAATAGCCTTAGCTGCAGCGATCCTCGATGGCGCACCCCCTTCCAGCTTGATTGCATCCATTCCACCTTCCTTCAGCACCCTCACAGCTGAATCAACAGCCTAAAAGAATATGAAAATACCATCAGTATTCCTCAAACATGTGCATTTATCTGTAAATTTGTTGTTGCTCTGCACCTTCTACTTAATGCAAAGGCAGAGCACCTGCCGTTTCATGCTAAAAAAAGTGCATTTGTGCGTGCACATTAATAACATTGAACCTGCTGACCTTGTGTTTTCCTTTTAGAATTTGGTGTGGTACTTTTGCAGCATTATTTGGTTATAAGCAAAAAGGTGCTGTTGCTGAACATCTAGTGTTGAATCAAAAAAACAATTAAATGGGGAGAGAGCTACAGTTCGTGGACTATATATTGTACAACAAGATGTTTCCTGTCCAAATCTAACAAACATTAGATTTCTGCAGTGACAAGGTACAACCTGCTCTTAAACGTCGCCGGGACACAAATGTGAGGAGCAAGTACTGCGTGATGTGGGGGCCGCGTACCTGCGCGGCAGAGGACTCGTAGCAGCCGAACGGGAGATCGCCGATGAGAAGCGGCCGCCGCGCGCCCCGGGCCACGGCGCGGCAGTGCTCGAGCATGAGCTCGAGCGTGATGGGGAGCGTGGTGTCGTGGCCGTGGACGACCATGGCGGCGGAGTCCCCGACGAGGCAGACGTCGATGCCCGCGGAGTCGACGTGGACCGCCGAGGGGTAGTCATAGGCGGTGACGACGGTGATGGGCTCCCCGCGGCGATGTTTCCCGCGGAGGGTGGTCACCGTCACGCGCCGCGCCGCCGAGGACTCCTGCGGGCGTGGCCCCCCGTAGACGGTGGACTCCGGCACGTTGCTCAGCAGCCGCCGCCACGCCACCTGCCGTGCGAGGAGGGACAGGGACCGCCGCATCGTGTCTTGTTGCGAAGCGGCGGCACAAGCAAGGGGAGGGAGAGTGGTTGGTATGGGGAGCGACGGGGACAGGTTGTGTAGTGTGTTTGGAACAAGAAGCAGGCCCAGAATCCGCTCCTAGCAAAATCCGCTTTAGGCAATCGTGGCCATTTGATGGAAGATCCGACGGACAGTAAAATTTAGGGCGACGTCCGTAGTGGTTCTGGGCGGAAGCTCCACAGGTTTTGTAGGGGAGAAAAAAGAAAAAGAAAAATGCAGCAGCCGAACCCTAACACATGACAAACCATAGCAAATATGAAGGCAAAACATGGAGTCAACGTGGCGGACCCAGGATTTCAAAGTTGGGTATGCCTGGATGGAGCGAACCTGGGGGCTGGAGCTCGAGGCCGCGGGAGGCCGGCCGCCGGCAACGCGCTGACGCGCCGAGGCAGCCGAGGGTAGGGGAGCGGAGCTGGCTGTTGGCGAGCCGTGATGGCCGGAGGGATGGGGCAGGGGCGTACCGGCGCAGCCACGCAGGGCGGCGGTGGCGCGACGCTGCCGGCAGCCGGCTGCGCTAGGGTTCCCCAGTGGCCGGTGGTGTTTTCTCGATTCGGCGCACTTCCGCTCGCTACCTCGCTCAGTGTGTCCGTGTCTGGAGTCGTCGTCGTCGAGCCGTCAAGGGCTGATTTGGTGTGGGGAGTTGCCGAGTCGGAATTGGAAAAGGCCAGATGAGCCGTTGTGTGTGTCTTGGGCTGAGTTGTGGGCTGCTTTACGTTTGGAGTAGAATAAGAGCTAGAAAATGGCAGACCGCCCAAAAAAAAGAACGGTCTCCGTCGTCGCCGTCCTCTCGGGCGAGGGGCGGGAGGCAAGAGGCAGAGCGGCCGGCCTGGTTCGCCGGTGCCAGCTCCATCGCCGAGGTCGTCTTCGCGGGCCTCCCCTCCGCCGACCAGATCCGCACCGCCAACGGGATCGCCGCCGAGGACCCCGTCGCCTCCTCTCCCTCCCCGTCGCAACCGGTGCCGGACGTGGCGGTGAAGGCCACTCCACCGCGCTCCGCCAGAAGGTTCGGTGCTGCCCTCCCTCCCTGCCTCCCTGGCTCGCTTTTTCTTGCCCCGATCTGATCCGCCCCCTGTGTTAGGGTTTGGGTGACGGGGTGGTACTCGATCTAACGACATGGATCTGATTTTCTTGTCGTCTGGTTGTGCAGCTCGATGGCTTGCCGGCGACGGTGCAGGCCGTCCTCTCCTACGACCCCACCGTGCAGCTTGAGGCAACCACGCACTTCAGGAAGCTACTCTCCATAGCTGTGCCTCTCTTTGTCAAGCTCCTCAACTCTCACATCGAGGATGTTCATAAACAGGCATGCGCTGAATTATAGGAGTTACTCTTCTATATGGGACTTACGTAGAGTGATGCTTAGGTTCTTTTCTTTTTTTTCTTTTTCTTTTTCTTTTTCTTTTTCTTTTTCTTTTTGCAGGCTGTATGGCTTTAGGTAATGTTGGTGGTGACTCCCCAAAGTGCCGTGATCTGGTACTATATATGACTCAATAGAGAGCTATTTGGGGTTATGGTTCAGTTTTCACGTGAGTACATTTGTTGATCTTAGGCATATACTTTCCTCGCGTTGGTTAAAGTGTGTTTTTAAACCATCACTTTTTAATTGTAGTTTTTAGCTGAGACTTGCAAGACTACACCAAAAACTATAATAATATACTATCGATCCTTCCTGTACACAGATCATATGTTTCAACTCTGAACTTGGTACTCATCTAGGCTGTAAAATCTTTGGTCCTTGCTTATTGTTTCGCCATGAAGGATGTATATATAGGTTATAGGGATATAACTAAACCCTTGATGTACCTGGCTAACTAAATTATTGTAGGTAAAAGTGCACCGCTTCTACACCTGACCACTTATTAGTGATTACTTGTAGATAAACTTGCTCTGCTTCCCTATATACTGGTCATAAGAAGTTATGGTGAAGCCACTCCTAAATTTTCTGTAAAATATTGAAACTTCAGTTTCACTTTTTTGTGTAGTCAGTTGCATTATAAACTGAACTAATATATCTTTTTCCTTTGGGCATCACGATCAAGAAATCATACATAATCATTGCGCAATACCAACTGAAATTTTTTAGTTTTCTTACTATGTATTGCTTTTGTTCCTTGACTATATCTTTCATCTGGAAGGTTTTTCTAAAACAGAGAATGACAAAGTTTCTTGTTTTGAAAGAAATTTGAACATGGTTTGGTCACCACTAAGGTAATTTTGGTAGTAGTTTAGGTCCTATCACCTCTTAAATCTACAAGGGTGACCTTTTAAAAGAAAAGAAAAAATATATTGTGCAACAACTGACATTGACATAGGGTGGAAAAAAACTTCTGTACTATGTTCTTTAGTTAACAGTTCAGTTAACAGTTGGCGTCACAAAATTTCAGCCGCACAGGCAAAACTTCCAGGACAATCTTTCTATTAATTATCTACTCACTTATTAGAGATTCATCAACACCTCATTATGAGAAACATGAGATACCAGGGCCTTGTTAATCACCAAAAAACACGCAAGCAGCACTGCCATTACTTATGTGTGACAATTCAGCAAAAAGTATCAATGCCTGGTGTGTTCATTGCTTCTTTACAACTAACAGTGAGAAGCAACAACTGCACTCTTTTTCTTAAAACCCAACCGTTTTCCTTTTAAATTATTGCTTGTACCTATTGAGATCTGATTGGTACTTTTGCTGATTGCAGTTTTCTGAAAACTTAATTTCCTATGATCAATCCTTTAGTCGTATGTGTTTTGTATGAATAGAAAGCCACATGCATCGCCAATCTGTTAGGGTAGTTGGATTTCTATTCATTCCAAATCATCATGTGAATTTTCAGAAGGTTCATAGCTTGTTGGGCATGTTAGCCTTGAACAGAAGATTAGATCTCAGAAGTCAGAACCAATTACCAAAAGTATTTGGACGAGTGACTATTACTTGGTTTCAAATATATTCCATGCTATAATGCTTCTGACGAGTGACTATTACCTGGCTTCAAATATATTCCATGCTATAATGCTTCTGTCTTTGTCTTTTCTATAATTTTTTTTTCACTTTCTGAATATTGACCTGTATGGTACTCCAATTGTGTGTATAGATGCTGAATTTGCCATCAGTCTTGATCCAAACAATCCAGAGCTAAGGAAGCAGCATTCTACCGCCAATGGACATATCAGATTCATAGTATTGCAGAAGAGGCGCCACACAAGCCTCTTCGGTCTTCCCAAACAACCCAAATAATCACCAATGGACGAACAAAAGTGGAAATATTTTACCGGGTTAGGAATGCAAACGTATATGATGCTGTTTTTTAATGCGTTTTTTACAATGATTTTGCTCAAATGTTTCTAGAATTTGCAGGCACAGCTCCTCTCTTCTCCTCCCTTGCTTCTGCCCCTGTGAAACCGGTGGAAGGGTGTTCAGGAGGTGGTTTGGTCTTGGTTCGCGCTCTCGCCTTGTGCTGTTGTTGCTGCTTCTTGATTCGTTGTCATGATGAGGAGCCGATGAACTGAGTTGCTGTCAGGCTCGGTGGTTCTGTGTCACACCTCTGAAGGAATGACGAAGGAAGAAGGTGTATTCGTTGAGGAGAAGCGTAGTCAAGTCATTTATGTATTTGCGTTTATATGACATGTGGGACCAGGTTTAGGCAGCGGCCGTGAGCCCTTATATTTCCGAAGTCTGTTCTATAATAAGCATCGACAATATATTTACAAATACAGTAAAGAGCCGGAGTGAGATTCCTCCGTCGCTCGGCCGAATCCGACGATCCCTTGTCGTGCTCACGTCAACGGCGTCTCGCTGGCGGCCACGGGTCTGTCATTCTGCTGGTTCAGAAATGGATATGGCTTGTTTTCAGGTAACTAACTAATCTTAGTATGTTTCTTTCCTGGCATATAAATTCTCCCAAAACAAAGTATGTCGAATCTTTTTCTAGAAAAGTCTAAATTTCTCTCTGTTGGTGACGACGAAGAACAATCAAAGGCTTGTTGCAGATCACATTGGCCATGGAAACTTCATTGGTTATCTCAAGAACACTCTAAACTCTGGTCATATGGAGGAGCACGAGCTCCTAAGGTACATAACAGCTTGCTTGTACTACCCTGACTGCCCCATGTGCAGATAACTTTTGTTTTCAGAAATGTCAATGATAGAATCCTTTTTTATTTTGAAATGTCAATGATAGAATTCCTTTTTATTTTGAAAACTAAATATTAGGGAATTCTTCTTCATAAAAATAAGAATATCAAAGTAAAAATTTTAAAACTCATGAACAAATAATATTCATTATTAGAAAATAATGACAACCCGAGTCCTCACCTTAGGAGGTTATAAATGTATTCAGACCATGAAACATATTCTCTGTATTTTTTTCAGGATGTAGCTAGCAGCATTTCCACATCTACAAGCTGTGAGAATAGGCTGTGGTTTTCTTGTTGTCACCTTTGGAAAGGTGGTATCCTTTTGATTCTTTGTGGCATTTATTTTCTCTTTGCTCGTCTTCCTTACAGCACAAGCCAGATTCATGTACCCTACGAGCACACAAAGAAGACAAAAACTAAAGTTAATTATTGTGCAAGTATCTGATCTGTATTTTTCAGTCTTGCTATATTTTACACATTGATTTTTCAGTGATGTAGCCTATAAGGGATTTTCTCATGGGTGCTACAGATCAATGTTACCCTGTTACTTTCAGATCAGATCAGTGGCCCTTGTTGAATCATATCAAACTAATTACATGGTGATGTGCTCCGATAAACAAGTTGGAAGATTGGAATATTAACCATTGCCCATGGATTCAGTGTGATTATTAACTTATGATTTTAATTTCTTTTTGTTCATTAGGATCAATGCCCGTGCATTGCAACGGGAATAGAATAATGTCAAGATAATTTAGGTCTACAACGTGTATATATATTTGGTCCTGCATCCAGCTGATGGATTTCGATTTGGGCAGAGATGTCTGCTGCATCGGGACGAGACCACTGTGGTGGGACTGGGACATCAAGCTGGTAGATGTGAATTTGGGCATCAATCCGGCAGCATATTCAAGCACATAGGATTGCTTATTCGAGCACATAGGATAGCATCAATCCGGCAGAATGTGCAGTTATGCTCTCCAGTTTGATTATTCACAAATTGGATTGCTTATTCTGTAAAATTGCATGACTGGAATTTAACTCACTGTATGATACTCCCTCATTTCTAAATTATAAGTCGCTTTGACTTTTTGGGGCTCATCTATTTTGCTACGTATCTAGACATATTATTATATCAAGGTATATAGCAAAATGGATGTAGGGATTCACATTGAATGATTATGTGGGATTTCCTTTTTGTGTATCTTCTGCATGATCTGGGGTCCCAAAGAAAGAACCGAAGGATGGAGGCCGAAAAGCATTTCCAACTGGATATCCTGATATCTGTATGTGATTTTGGGTACATTTGGATTTACCAGGGTCCTGGTCGGGTCTTAAGTGTGACCCGTAGCAGTTTGTTAGAAATCAATCTAAACTTGCATCCATGGGTGATATTCAAGTGCAATAAATGTACATTATCAATGATAAATAATGGTTGGACTTACTGTTTCTAACTCAATTATTTTTGTATGATCAGCAGGAAAAATTTGGCGACGATGAGGCAGTAGCCACCGGCAGGAAGTTCATCGTCGGTGCTTGTGAAAGAATTTGCAATGACAAATCTACAAGAGGCCTTTATTATCCCCTCCATGGTCCATTTTCATATTTGTTTAGAATCAAATGATTATGTTCTATATTGTGTTAATTCTGAACTTTTGGCCATTGTTAAAAAATACCTGTCAAACTGTACAGTGAGAATATTTTTCTAGTTAATGGAAAAAGGGGTGGCGTCGTCACCCAGTTATCTAATTTGACTGCAAGAACAGTAATGTTGACTTCTGATGCCATTTGAACCCTCAAACCAAATGATTCTTAGGAAAGCGAAAGGGTAAACTTCCCCAGGTGGCAATTTGAATGAAAGAAAATGGATATCGGAGATTTTTTCCTGTCGATATAAAATATTATTTTAGCCGCATCATGAAAAGGTCTATATAGTAGAGTTGGTGAGCCTGCGACACCGCGCTCTCCGTGATTGTATTAATTTCACGATAACGTCGGTATTTAATTTTATAGTACTGTTATCTTATCGTGCGATCCGTGTGTTTTTAGTACAAAAGTTTTGATGTCCCGTAGCAACACACGGGCACGCTACCTAGTATCTCTATAAACTGTTAATTTTTTTCTAAAAATATTGGGTATGCCTGGGAATACCCAGGCACAACACTGGGTCCGCCCCTATCAACCTCCAACCA